GAACTGCAGTCAGAGAGTATATAGTTAAGCACGTGAGAATTATAGCGTTTGTTACATAGCGACTGTTGAAATTAAGTGTATCGGAAAGAATAAACCAGTTTTATTTAAGAAAGGACTTGTGTCGCTAAAGTTTCGTCGGAACGAATTTACGGAAAATTAACTAACGAACGGAGACAATATAAATCCACAAATCGTTTATCTCTCGGGTAAGTTTATACAAACTTTGTATAAAATGGCGGACTTATTTTTGCAGCTTAAACAACATCGATTTATATTTCTGTGATTTTTAACAATCAGTTTTATTTTCCCATGAAAAATAGTGTTATTTTTTATTATTCAGCCTTTTCCAGTTACCCCAAATAATTATAATTACTGGTAAGAGAATAATCTCAGTTGATCTAAAAATTGTAATATGAAATTCAAACATGATGAGATGAAGCAGATTTTATTTTAAGTGAATAACACTTTAATCTTGTATTTGTTTTTTAGCTTCTAAATTATTTATATACTGTAAGTTCGAATAAATTATTCCTGTTAGTAAGGTTTCTTTCATTACAAGCTATTTAATCTATATAAAGATGGCAACACACATTTGGATCATTTGTACCATTTTATTCGTTTTTTAAATACCAACGTACATCTCAGACAATTTTTAGTGCATGTATAATATTAATTTCATGCATTTTGACCACAAACTTTACAAAGCTGAATTTAGCTACAATAACATTGTTTTTAAGCTCACAGCGTTATTATATCTGGTGGCAATGAAATAATTTTGAGGCTTTCTCTTTGAAAAAAAATTCGAGATAAGAAGCTTAAAAAATACTGTCACGACCATTAACCACCACCTTGTTCTATATTATAGTACATTGTTCTGCTTTTAACTTTATTTGTTCTGTGCATCAAGTAAAAAGAAAGCAGTTATTAGCAATAATCTTTGCCAATCGACAGTGTTCTTAAGTTTTTTTGTTCAAACAATTAAAAATGTGATCTCTTCTTAAAGAAAAAAAACAACAAGAAATTATATTTTGAGAGTTTTTTAAAGCCAAGGTAATAAACTTACATTTATTTATATAACTATTGTTATTGAATATACTTCTTTTGTGAAAACTTTCAAATATTTGACAGGAAAAATGACTAATATCATAATGTCTTTATCAAGAATAATACCTTATAATACATGTATCTTTAACATAAATTGTACTAATAAGACTGATAAAACTTTTTGTTTTGGACAAGAGATCACTTTCACCTTAAATAATTGAAATGAATTCCATTTGTTATTAAAACCAAAAGAGACAGGGAATACTTTTGTATCATAACCATAATTCTAAGATTTGATCACAAATTACATAAAACATTTAAAAAATAACCCTGCATTGTGGTAAAAAAAAGATTAAAGTCTGACACATGAACAAACCAAACAAAAATTATATTTCAACAAATTGAAATAGAACCAACAATAATTAAGAAAATAAAATTACGTTATCTAAGCATTCTGGAATATTTTGGGCAAAGTTTACATTAATGTGTTCTTTTTGAGGCACAGGAGAATAACGTATCCACTATACAGACTATAAAGTTTGTTATCAGGTAGTATTATATCAGCCATTTTCAACAACATCTTAGAACAGTGCATTTAAAATATTACAATTATGTAAATTATACAGAATTCCTTTTTTTTCAAGGTTCAAAATGACTTTTTTTTCCTGACACAGTATCAATTATTATTGTTCAAAAATAACTGTTTCCTACATTTTCACAGCTTCAACAGCAAAGTACATGAAGAAGTAAGAACATTCGTTTCGGGTCCCTCGGCATATAAATGAGCAAACCCTCTTTTATAAGCTAAGGCCCAAAATTAATGTCCTTAGTCCTAAAAAATGACTGTCTTAAACAATCTTGATGTTTCAAGCCATAAATGAACTACGATGAAACAGGAAAATTACTGTCAGTGCACTGGTTAGTACTGATTTAAAACAGTGTAAGAAGGAACATGCTTAGTTTAAAATGATTTTTGTCATTATATATGTGGCTAAAAGTCAACATTTCCAAATCATTTTCATTTTGAATGATTACAAAATTCACAAGATTATGTTTTATGTTCGTAAGCTACTCTTGTTCATTGTACTACTTTTGTGAACATATTCCTGTTTAAAACTCAAAACCTACAAATGCTTTGTTTGTAATTAATTTTTCTCTAGGAATTTAATGATATATTATGCCTGTAATTATTCAACTTTCGTTGTTTAAACAGAAAATAAATGAAAATATAAAATGGATTTCTTGACAAGGATGATAGTGATTTGGATCAAATTGAATAAGAATTGTTCAGAAGTCTCTACACGAGAAAGGGCGATTTTAGCAACAAATATAGGACTTCTCAAAAAATGATTACATTCAAGTTTTTTTTATAATGGATAGATTTCAATTTGGACTGTCATAATCATAATCCATACAAAAATAACATTTTGCTACAATGCAGTGTTAAATAATTGATCTTAAATGGTAATCTAACAATGTTTATCCTTTGTACCAACAAATACCGATACTTACTACAATACTTACAAAATACAAACAAGAAACAATCAGCAAGCGAGAATTAAGATAACTGAGAGTTAACAATGATACAATACCACATCAATTCCTACACCAAAAGGACTATCTCAGAAATATACAATATGTATATATTTATTTTTCTGTATATTCCTTCTTTTCGTGTCTTACCTTTACTTTCAAATCACAACTTTTATATGATAAATTTCATGTACATTTCATCGACATATCTAAACTCAACACCTTTATTTCAGCATCTTCTTTCAAAGGTTGAAATATATATATATATATATACGTTTACATCAAAAACCGGTATGGCAATACAGTCATATCCTATTTATTCCATTTGAGTGATCTTGAAATTTTAGTTTCACTGGAAATCCACAGTTGTTGTAAATCCATTTAAACAAAACTGGAATGCTGAGAAAAAAAGTTTAATCTTGGTTTCACCATACCCTAAATATCACGTTCAATAGATCTGTGAGTAATCATTTTCTAAAAGCATGAGCTTTCTTAACCACTCTGGCAAGTTAATATTAACACAACTTGTAGTGAGCACTGATTTCTGGGTTCACCATTAATTTCAATACATTGCTATTTACTAGCTATTGATGTTAAATCATGACTGTGACAAAATAGTCAGGGACTCTCTCTCTTTACATAAAGTCAGCACCACAAAGGAAAATCTTCAGAAAACCAAGATAAAATCAATACTAGACTTTCTTCAAACATACATATTTTTTAGTTTGATCCTTCTTAATCTTTCGCTGATTTTATAAAATAGTGAAACCTTTTAACCTTGTGTCTTTTTATCACACAAATCATTTATCTTCCTTTGTTTCATATAGAATTATTACTTGAGTGTTACTGGTGATGGAATGTCTTGATGCCATCCATGTTGCAGATACATGCCTGTGTGAAAAGAAACAAATATAAACATGTATTATAAGAATATGTTATTTTCTTATTAAATATATCAATGTACTTAAAATCTCAGTGCTGATATATGTTATTTGTGATGGATTTGTTTGTTTGTTTGAAGTTAAGCACAAAACTACACAATGGGCTATCTGTGCTCAGCTCACCACAGGTATTGAAACTCTGTTTCTAGCTTTGTAAGTCTGCAAACATACTGCTGTGCCACTGGGGGGCATTTGTGATGGAAAGTGTTTCTTTTTAAATATGTGTTGTTGTAGGCTGTGTTTGAACATTTTAATTTATACGTTTTGTGTTGATGCTAGAGAGATGTGATGAGTATGCAATGTCTCGATTTTTCTAAAAACCTGGAGAAAATCAGTGTAACAAATACCAGAACATTGATAACTAGTTAGTAAATGAGCCAGCCAGTCAGTTGGCAAATCTATTACAATGTTGTTGATCAATTACTGAATTAGTGAGTGGCCTAGTCAGTAAGTTCTAAGTTGCGACTGCTATGCTAAGTCTTATTTGTGAGTTAGGCCTAAGAGCTAACATAGCTTGATTAACGAACACGAAGAAAAAAATGTTTTACCTTTGGCTAACTGGACTGGACTTTACATTATTATTTTTTGGAATAGCCAAAAAGAACTAACAAACAACAGAAACCATTCCAACAATATATTTCTTTTATAATTTTTTATTTTCGTAAAACACATATTTTGCTTGAATCTTCAAGAATTTTATGCAAGTTTACATTAGTAAGAATTAAAAAAGTGTGATAAAAAAAAAATCACAATGAGAATGGATGCTGGTTCCAAATTTTCTGGCAAAATAATTTGTGTAAAACATTGTTTGTTTGTTGAATTTTGCACAAATATACTTGAGGTCTATCTGTACTAGCTGTCCCTAACTTAGAGGTGATAGAATAAAAAAAAAGTAGCTAGTTAACACCACCCACCATCAACTTTTGGGCTACTCTTTTATCAATGAATTGAACATCACATTTTAATATCCCATGGCTGAAATGGCAAGCATGGTCGGTGATGGGATTCAAAACCTGCAAATTGCAAGTCTAGTGCCATAACTAAAAGGCATGCCAAGCTAAAAAAAAACATTAAGGTCCTTGAAACTATCCCAGTGATAAAACTTAGGGTCATAGCTTAATAAAAATGTACAAATAAAAAGATACACGTCTCTATAATAAAAAACATTAGATGAAAATCTGTTATAATCTGCAAAAAATAATAATAAATTCTGTATCATTAATGAACAAATATTAATACGTGAATTTCATCTAAAATAAAAACACACAATTTTAAACTTATTAATACTTACTACAATATAAGGGCATTTTTCTATAGGTTGACATGAAATAATATAAACTGTGTAATTATTCACATAAAGTTTACAAAGAATTTTACCCTGTTGAACTGGATACTGTGTGCCCTCAGAATTCCATACGGCTTGATAGCTGAAACAGTACCAGAAATAATAATAAAAAAAAGTCATTCATTTCTATTATACCAAACATATTAGAATAGATTCTTTTGCTGAGAAAGTTTTAAAATAATAATGAAAAAATATACATCTCTCATATTATTCTAAGAAACACGATTAATTGTCTTTAAAACAAAGTTTAATATTATTATAACTTGGAATATGCAAGAAAAATATTTATATTCCAAAGAATTATCTTTATGGTTTAAATATATAAAAACCATGAGGCTGTTTTATAAAAGATACAGGAATATGCACAACTTTGGAATTCACTGGATCAAAGTTAATTTCATTTGGAGCTATTTTGAAAAAGCTGAAGTTTCAGGAACACAATATTTAGAGGTGGATACCTCAATATTCATGTTACTAAGTGGAAAAGCAATGATAAATCCCCAGACAACTAATAACCACATGTGTGTATGCCTTTAAAAGTAATGTAGACCTGGATACTGATCAATTAACTGATATAATGGATTACCTATGAGCAGAAATTACATTCATTAGTGTCACATTGCACCTGCTACCACATTAATGATAAGAATGAAGGTCAACATTTGATATTGTGCTTGCTATAAGAATAAGAGGATAAAATTAATAATTATTGACATGGTGTTAAAACTACTAAACGAACATCAAAATGTTAAGCCTAATATGTAACAAAGTGCTTGATATGATTGGATTAGAACATTTTATGTGCTTTACTTATGTTGGAATGAGAAAGATACTGTATGGATCCTAATTTTCCTTTTGGATAAAACTCAAAGCAGAGTGTTTGTTTGTTTGATGAATTTCGAGCAAAGCTACTCAAAGGCTATCTGTGTTAGCTGTTCTTAATTTAGAAGTAATAGACTAAATGGAAGGGAATTAATCAACACCACCCAACGATAATAGTTGGAGTGACTGTCTAATTATGGCTGAAAGGGTGAGCATGTTCAGTGATTGTGAGTCGCTTGCCCTAGCCACCAGACCATGCCAAATCCAATGTAATCCTGATTAATCAGAAAACCTACCAGAGGTCAAAATGTGTCGGATGTATATAATGTAATCCTGATTAATTAGGAAACCTACCACAGACAGCAATAAATGTCTGAAAAAGGACATTAAACACAAATGCTTCTTCATTAAATATTTTACCTGCAGTTGGAAACAACAAAGTCATTTGCATGATATTCCTTTTCCCAGTCTGGGTTGTTTACAGGTGGATTTGTACAGCCACCATTCCTCATTTGCTGTTGTCCATGAAGCATATTCTGTGACATTGTCATTCCTGGATTATTTGGTATCAGCACCTAGACACAGAAATAAGAGCATTCAAGTTACTTAAAGAAGTTAATACGCCAAGAGTTTTGAATATTGTATACAATTAAATAATACAAACTAAACAATTTAGATATTTCCGTTATTTTATTAGACAGTTAAACTTATCAATCAATTTACAAGATTATTATCTTAATTCTATTTGCAATAAAAAAAGCAGATACTGAAATAAAAATATAAAATTATTTTCTTCATTTGTGTAAAAAATTCTGGTAAGAAAACATCTAATGGGTTATTTCATACAAAAGCTTAACATATTTTTATGTATTCATAACTTCAACCTCTAAAAAAACGTAATGTGTTTTCTGTTTTCCTCTTTTGCAATTTTTTATATTATTCATTTGCATCCATGATACCGATTAAAATAATTTTAAAATGTCTTTAAATGCGTTTCATATTAATGTCACTGACTGATTTGTAGCGTAGCAGACATAAAGAATTATGTGTAAAATAAAAAGCCATTCTAAGGCATAAGTCGCCAGATCTTGTGATAATATACACTAACATACCAACATGGGGTAGGCATTTACGAAAAACTTAAAACGTTTAGGAAATTTTTATGTTACATTTATATTAGGCAAATAATTCATATTATTAATGTTTATAATTAAATTAATTTTTTATTTTCAGGTAAGTTAAAAAAATTTACATAGAAAAAGCGTATTTAAGAAACATCGCACTTACTGATGAAATACTCTGTGAATAGGAAGATGGCGCTGAGCTGACAGGTTGTGAAGGAGGAGGCATTTGTGACATAGCTGATAGGTTACCCATTGGAAGCATCTGCTGCTGTTGCATGGGTCCTCCAATCTGTTGGTGCAACATTTGAGGTGGCCCTTGTACCAGTTGCATCTGTTGCTGATGCATTCCTCTATTACCATTCATGGGGGGTGTCTGTTCAGATAGATCAGCATACACTTACGAAACACTATATCAACATCCTTATATACAAATCAAATAACCTTAGGTATATTATTTTGAAAAATACAAGAACAGTTCTGTCCACATTATAACTAAAAATATTGGTATTCAAATAGAACTGTTTGAAACAACAAGTAGAAAATTTCTCCAAATTTGCAGTTTAAAGTTCTAAATAAACTTTGTAACTGTTACAATTATAGTATTTAGAGAGTATTTAAGTTACTTAAGTAAAAGACACCAAAAGGTAAAGTTTACTGTTGAGTTATACTAATAATTTGTAAGTTACTGTTGTAACGTTTTCTTTCGTTGGCGTTTCTTTCTCTTTTTTTTTCAAATTATTTGGTGAAAATAGTTTGAAGAGCAGTCCATTTAAATGATAACAAATTAGTATATTTCTTCTTTAATGTTTCTAAACACCATGGTAACTTATACTTTTACAAATGACGCTAACTACACTATACTAACGTAAAAAATAAACTTACTTGTACAACTTTGCGGTTGAAACGAAAAATAGAGGTAACTGACTGATTCACTCTACCGGCAAGAAACAACTCTCTATCTTTTCAGTTGTAAACTAATTTCCCTGACCCTTTATTTATAATTTATTTACCCTCAAGTGTACAAAAAACCTGGCGTCAAATCTTTTTTCAGAATTTCATAGGCCTAATTTAACGTCAACATCACGACCTACAGTTCTCTTTAGCTAGCATCTAAATTACAATATCAAGCTCTAATCCATTTGGTGATCACAAAAGTACTTTATTTCTCTGACTACAAGCTCTATAGGTATACATATAGCTATAATTTCAACAGAACTGAATTCCTCTTTCTAATCGAAGATATATTTCAGTCATTAGTGATTAAGATGCTGTATTGTGTTCATTTGCTTTAACGAAAAATCCAGAAATATAATTTAAATTAACTAACATATGCATCCAAAAGAACTTAACTGCTAATTATTTTACAATTTCCATTCTTAAGTAGAATTCCCTTTATGGGAAGGATCACATTTACCTATATTAACTTTCTCTCATTCTTTTTCTTAATATACTGGCAGTTGTGCTATAAACAAACTTTCTGGACAAATGCCTTAGAATTTAAATTCTTTGTGAAATGGTGAAAGGATAAAAGGAGATTCAAATGAAACTGATACAACTAGCTGGGTCAAAGGGGATTGTAATTATTTACAGAGAAATGTTAGTAATAAAAAGGACCTGAATAAATATAAATTAACTGCCTTGCTATCGGGATTTTGACTTGTTAATGACTATCCTTTTTTTCAGCATCAGCACCCACATCCAGAAATTGCCACTGACTAGGATCTGTTTTTAATATTTTAGTTCAAAATACAATTTTCACATTTAATATTTAAGGGTCCACCAAGGTATTAAAAAAAACAAATTACAGCAAATAAAAAATGATACAGATGAAACAATTAGCACCAACAACTAATGAAAGTATTCAGAGAAACACTAAAATTTAATCAAAATTAGAACTGCATAGTTTTCTCCTTTGCTGAAAAAACGTAGAATGTGTAAAATAAGTTGACATTATTAGTAATCGGCTGTTTTCTTACACAAAGGTAAAGTATTCTAACTATCTGAAGTTTCCCAGCTTACCATTGTCCATACCTGACTGGGAAACACTGGTGGTTGTGGCTGAGTCATGGCCACAGAAGCAGATGAACCTTCTATAAGTGATGTCAGAAGTGGTGATTTCTTCTGCAACTTTGACAACGACTGTGTATTTGATGGTGCATTGGACAAAGTAGCTGATGACACATGTGTTGTAGAAGTTACAGAGTTTCCTCCCATATTGTCAGACTGATCACTAGCAGCCTTAGTGAATATGAAGAAAAAGTCTTATTTAGAAGTTGGTACCTTCAGCTTTCTATTTTTAACATAGCAGTATAAGAAGTCCAAGATACAGAACTTTAAACTTGTTTTTTGCACCTTGTGGATATTATAAATTTTGAGTAAACAAAGGCTTCAGCTAAGAGTGAAACCTCATGATACTCCACTTAGCCATCTTTTAGAGTTAACTAACAGATTAGCATTCCTTCTGTTTTATCTGTTTCTATTTTTAAGATGTTCAATTTCCTCTGCTGACTTTTGACTAATGTAAGGAAAATTGTGCTCATCATCATATATAGCTTTACAAGATACAAACAAGAAAAACTGATTTCACATCAGCACCCACATCCAGAAATTGCCACTGACTAGGATTTGTTTTTAATATTTTAGTTCAAAATACAATTTTCACATTTAATATTTAAGGGTCCACCAAGGTATTAAAAAAAATACAAAATTAAGCCCTGACCACTTGAATATTTATCGCCATAAAATGCGAAAAGAAATGATGAATCAATACCATCAATTCACTTTATAATTTTGAACACCACAAACAGATTCTCTTCTAACTCTATTTTTTTCGAGAGAAAAGAATTTCAGAGATCTTAATCTGGCTTGATATGACAGCCCATCCATCCCAGTGAGCCCTCTTTCGAACTTATTCTACAAATTCAGTTCCTATCTTAAGGTACGACTGAACACAATACTCCATATGAAGCCTAACGTGTGACCTATATAATGAAATGATAATTTCTTTACAATTATATTTAATATTTCTATAAATGTAATGTAAAATCCTATTTGCCCTAAGAAACAACAAAATCCTTTTCTTCCATAACACTGTTAATATTATTTCCATTAACATTATATTTATATTTCAAATTATGATATTCCACATGCATTATCTTGCATTTATTATAACTAATAGCTATCTGCCAATTATTGACCCAAGTCATCAAATGGTGTAAGTCCTTTTGTAAAGAACCAATAGAACTTGAGACCTTAATATTATCAGTACGTTTAAGCAGCTTATTGACCATTCCTTTATCTATGTCATTGATGTAAACCAAAAGAGTAAAGTCCCAACACTGAGATGTGAGGTACCCCACTTGTGACATTTATCAAGTTTGACTGAACTGTAATTGTAACAACCTTCTGCTTTCTTTGCTCCGGTCATTTTTGCTCCATAGAGCAACTTATCCCCATAATCATAGAAATATATGAACAAACATTTTATGTAGCACTTTCTCAAAGTCCATATATACGAAATACACGCTTTGCCCTCATAATATAAGCAGCAACCTCTTCAAAGAATGTCAAAACGTTAGTGAGGCAAGATTTTTCTCTAGTGATACTATGAAGATTATCCAAAGAGAGTTTAATTTTTTTTAAATAACTTTGAAAAGCATCGTTTATCAGACATCAAAGTTTTTTCCTTAAAAGATGGAAGTCGCATCTGTCCAACACTTGACATGTTCTCTTACTTTGACGGCCTGACATGGCCTTGTGGTTAAGACATTCAACTCACAATCTGAGAGTCTCGGGTTCGAATCTCGTCCTCGAAAATGCTCACCTTTTCAGCCATGGGGTATTTATAATGCGACAATCAATGCCACTTTTCGTTTGTAAAATAGTAGCCCAAGAGTTAGCGGCGGGTGGTGTTGACTAGCTGCCTTGCCTATTACTTCAAAATTAGTGAAGGCTAGCTGAGATAGCCCTCGAGTAAACTTGCGTGAAATTCAAAATAAAACTGATAAATAGACACCTGCTTACTTCTCAAGGGCTTACACAAAACAATAGCAACAGGCTCATATATCCTTTTATTAACCTCCTTCAAAACCCTTAGGATAATATTATGTAATCCAAGTTTTCAAGTGTTTAAATGAACAGCCACCAATACAAATTCTTAATCGACAATCCAGTCAAAGTATGTATTATTTTGGTGTGTGAGCAATATATCAACCAGGTTCTTCAAAAAAAAATCCTTCTTTTAAGTTCCTTAAAATATCTTATGTGAATTATGGGAAGTAATATCAGGAAATAATAGGGAAATAACGAGCGAAAAATCAGGAAGTAATCTAGCTAGCGTCTTGACAATGTTAATGTGTTTTAATGACTTACTATAAATAAAATAGTGATTTATGATAGCTGGTTTTTCAGCAGAATCCTCCTTACCTTAGAGACAAGACTGGCTCGATAAGCAGCTAAAGCCTTCAAATAGTCTTTTTTAGCCGCTTCAGTTTTCTTTTTATACACCTGAGACAAACAAAATCTTATTTAGTGTATCATTTGGGGTACACTGATCAACAACTATTTGACGCCATATGACTTAAAATAACGGCTGTATTAAGTAATAAATACAGTTCTAGGATAAGCGTCCGTTTTTCTTTATGTTCAAGATGGTAAAGCATTGATTTCAACATAAAAGTCCCGAGTTCAAGCCCAATTTAGGATAGAATTTAAAACATACTGAATTATTACACATTGAAGTTTAAAATATAACTTTTAAATACTTCAAAAAACGTTAAACGTTAACGCTAGAGTTAAAAATATCTTAACTACAACTGTGATTTTGAAATAAACTGAGATTTCAACTGTAATCTGGGTTCAATTTTATCATTTAAGATGTTAAAGCCATGAGACCATGGAAACTGAGAGTTAAGCTATTTTATTCGATGCGAATCATTTTATGGTCAATTAATTTCTTTTATTGGAAACATTTATGTAATTACGAAATGCACTAAAAACTAAATACAATTTACGCCAGGGGGGTTATGCTCCAGAAGTGTTGCTTCATGGACCTCCATTGTTCTCGGTCATTGCCCTGTTAACTACCGTATACTATCGCGTACAAAAGAAAAATAAAACGTTAAATAATGCCAACGTTCTGTACCTTTGCTGGAACTAATTCTGTAAAAGAAAAAGGTTAAAAGAGGATACTAAAAACAGCCATTTTTAAATCGTGGCTGTTATAAGTCTTTTTGCGCTTCAGAAACGTGGATATCGAATTATCTTATTTATTAAAATGGCCGCTATTTTACTTTTACGAACCATTTTACATTCTTTTTTTGAAGACTAGCACATACTCATAGTTAGTTAATGTTATAAGGGAATGTTGGTCAGAGAAACATTTGTTCAGGTGTCTCACTTCAGGTCAATTTTCAAAGAAACCGCTTGTTAACCCTATTTATACTTTTTAATGCTTTGACAAATGAAATACTGACCATTATCTTTCTGATTTTAGTTTTAGGTTCACAATAACCTCATATTTTAGTATAGTAAGTAGTTATGAACTTACATTCTTATGATCTGCTTCTAATCCGTCCCACATTGAAGCTACGATTTTGGAAACTTCTCCAAAACTGGCATTTGGATTTTGACCTTTGATTGCCGCTTGGGTATCTCGAAAGAACAGAGCATATGCTGACACAGGCCTATAATGATCATAGAATCATTTAAAAAATCATCATCTATTTATGAGAAAAACAGGACCTAAGTAAGCTTATGAATTATTTAAAGTAACTTCCAAATTACAAAAATCTTTGCAACTTTGCAAAATGCTGTATCATTAATTTGTAACATGATAAATAATGAGCTCTCATTGCATCAATCTAAGCTCATTGTCGTCTGGAAAACCATCAAATTACTCTTTTCAAACATTCTCTTCACTCTGATATTGTCAAAATCTACCCCCCCCCCCCCGGTGATGAACGCTTTATCTCTGGCATGATATAAGGATGTTTAGTTTAGATATTATTGATTATAATTTATTTTTGGTTGTGAAATTTTTATTATTGTTTAGTTTGTTATAATAAGAGTGAAAAGCAGACGATTGTAGGAAGTTGTGTTGATAAGCCATTGATGATGAGACTATCGAACGTCGCGTGCAATACATTGACATCGAGAATATAGAAGGCGGGCAGATGATTAAGGGATAAACATATAAATAATATGAGGTGAGCGGAAACAGCAGACAGGTAATAGCAAAAGAGAGTAAACTTACAGCAACGAAAAGGTCGGCGTAAAGTTAACTATCGTAGAAGTGATAGGCCTAACGATTAACATAGGCCTAGCGTTTAATATGTTAGAGTAAGACTCACAGTAGAAAAGGAGATAAAAAAGAAGAATTTATTCCGTCAAACGTGTTTCTAAAGCAATTGAATCCGCCTAGGTACACTTTGACAAAAGGAACAGAGGATCTTCAGAAGAAAGAAGACCAAACGAATAAAGGTAACTTGCGCCCCAACTGTAAGTGAATCACACCAGAATACTAGTACAATAGTAATATAGAGAAGATAAGTTCGACTTGTCAACTGAAATTCTAAAGTAATTGAATAGGCCTAAGTGAACTTTTCACAAAAAGAAGAGACCTATATATAATTAGTGTTTATGATATGCCTGTAATATCTGTAGTGTGAAGACTTTGTTGTACATACGCATAATTGTTCCGAATATATATGTATATTATTTGAAAACAAGTAAAGTGTGTGCTGTTTATTCCTGGTTGAATTTATCGTCAACAAGTCATAGACACCTACTGTAGAAGAATCCTAAGCCCAACAACAACACATTATATGTTTATACTATTAAGAAGTATAAGTAAAAACCTTTTATTTTGACAATTAGAGAAAGGCTACCAGTTGTATGTTGGGCACCAGCTGTTAGCCACCCTGATCTTGTAAACTTTTTGAACTCCGTTGGACATTAAAGAAAGAGAACAATGTTATCGAAACAATTTCCAAGTGCTTTACTTCGCTTATTCTGAATAAAACGTGCAGCTTGCCAGTCTGATGCAGAGAATATTACCATATGGCAAACACTCTTAATTAAGCTAGAGGTTAAGGTGTGAACTAGTGGTTAAAGTGCCGGGCTGCGGATTGAAAAGTTCAAGGTTCGAGTCGTGATGATGTTTAAAACTGTGAGCACGTTTAAAAACTGACAATCCATTTATTTGGTTCAAAGAGCTGGACAATGCCCTTGTGGCAACGGATGCTACCGACTTGCTACCCTCCCTTTGGACAGTAGTTCATAATTAAGGTCGACTATACTTCAACACAAAAGTTTTCTGACCTGATCGTTTCGCCCAGAATCGCATAAAGTTCAATTCAGGTTAAAAAGCCCAATTCCCACTGAGCTATGGGCAAATCTGTTCTGTTTCTATACCAGACAGCAAAGGACCTAGTGCTTCTGACCAGGAGTATCTGAGTACCGTAGTTACCCGTAAGTAATATGTTCTCATTTGTTTCATAGCTAACACACATTATAAAAGCCTTTTGTTTCGACGAATTTTAAACTTATCTATAATTTTGTTACATATCATGAAAAAAAACATTTTAAAGTTACGACCCCTACTTTTAAAAGTACTTTATCTTTTTGTTTTTTTTATATTTTCACTGAACAAAGAACGCGTGAAATATTAAGTATGGAAAGTCACAAATTAAGAAATATTGCTCGACGAACATAAAGTACTAATAAAAAATCTTCTTTAGATTCCAGGGATTCATGGTTCGCGTCCCGTACTACAAAAACGCGCGTGAGAGTGACGATCAAAATTTTATTCAAAAAACAACAATAAATACAATACATTCAATAAAAAAATAATAACATAAAAATTATATTATACAATGGTCATAAAAACGAAATTAAGGTAAAAAAGACTTCAAGAATGTGGAGCGTAAATAAATATATTACTAAACAATAAATACATAAATTAATATTTTCTTCATTAACTTTTATGCGACTTAAGCCTATTTTAGCATATTATAATAACCCAAGAGTTGGCGATTGGTACTGTTGACTAACTGTCTATCACTTTAAAACTAGGGCTGGTTATGTACAAGCCTTTGTGAAAATTTGAAACAAACAAAACCAATGCTTCATTCAGTAAGTGTTTGTCTACCTTATCTATGATAGATCTTAAATTCTTTGTTTGTTTTAGAGAAAAGCCACAATGGGCTACCTGCTGTGTCTACCGTGGGAAATCGAACCTCAGGTTTTAGTGTTGTAAGTATGTAAATTTCCCCCTGTCCCAATTGGGGGGGGGGTTAAATTCTTCCTGACGATCTCTCTAAACACTGCTCGTTATTACATTGAAGTTTGCCCCCCCTCCACTGGTTCAGCGGTAAGTCCGAGAGCTCACACCACTAAAACTGAGTTTCGATACTTGTGGTTGGTACAGCATAGTAGCCCATTGTGTAGCTCTGTACTTAGGAACAAATAAATATAAACTGAAGTTTACGTAAACTTAACAAATTATCCCAAGATGGCGCCCATGGATGAAATAAAAAGTGTATGTTTGAAAATTATTCGTAATTTTCTAGCAAATTAAAAACAAAGTAACAACTCTTGCATCCTTGTATTAACGTTACAGATATATTTGAAAATATACTTACGCAAGAGAAAATCAAACACAATTGTTTCGCTATATAATTATGTAGTTTGAGCAAAATATCTGGTAACTAAAGCCACCATGTTGCCGTTATTTTCTTAGCAAAGCTATACAATAAGCTATCTGCATTCTGTCCACCGGGGTGGGTGAATCGAACCCCGGATTTCAGCTTTGTAAGTTTGTAAATCTATAGCTGAGCCACCGAGAGACTAGAAATGACTAACCAGCTCTTGACGTTTTTCTTTACTTGTTTCATTTGATTATTTGCACACGGCTACACAAGGGCTATTTGCACTAGCTATTTTTACTTTTGAACTGATTAGTTAGAGGGAAGGCAGCTAGTCAACAGTAGCTACCGTCAACTCATAGGCCACTGTAATTGAATAGCAGGACCTGACTGTCACTCTTATAACACACACACGGCCTCAAAGTGTAGAAGCGCGATTCTGCGGAATCGGAAGGCAAACCATAGATCCTCAGATTCACAGTTCAGCAAGAAAACCTCTGGGCCACACCAAACCCAAGTATAATTTTAAGAGCAGATACTCCATAAAATAATTTGACCAAAGACATGTCTTTGACTCGGAACTATGACGGAAAAGAAATTGCCAAAAATATATTTCAAAAGAATGCAGAACTAATTAAATATTGGTCTTTCCAGTTTTAAGACTAAAAACATTTGTCTTGTCAAGTCTTCAAACAATCACCTTTTTAAGAAACTATAGAAAACATCGTTCTTAGTAAAACAATATTTAACATTTGAAAAAAAAAGTAATTGTTTAACTTTCAAAATTATTAAACGACCAACTGGAAGAATAACATCGTGTAAGGCAAATTTTCGAATAAAAATATTTCAAAAGATTTTCGTTTTTAAGGTTCTGAGACCAGTTCTAGCAAAGTTCTTTCTTATATGTAATTGATTAGAAGTCCTTCCATTCAGTCCAATGTACGAACTTAATTTGCTTTGCGTAATGTATAATTTTGTATATGATTAGGAAACTACAGAAGATTGCATTCTATCCAATAATGTTTTACCCTTCAGAAATTATTTGAAAAGAAGTTCATCATTTTAAATCTTTTTTTTTAACAAAACTGATGGGCTATTTATGTGAGGATGTTTTATTTTAGTTTTAATTGAATCAAATAATTTTACCAAAATAACCTTAAAAAGGATGAAAAAGATCGAATACAACACAAAAGAAATCTTTTTGGTTTGCAGGAAGCAATCAGAAACCCTTGGAGACCACAAATTCAATTGGGCTGTTTCTGAGCTTATTTCCCTGCAGTAATCAAATAAAATGCGAAGTAATGATAGAAGAATGGGGTAATCACGTGTTTCCTTCTCTAGAGGGACTTCATTTAATTTACATAGGTTGCAGACGCGTTTCTTGTTAGCTAGGGCTTAAATGTGATCATGAAAGACCCACTTTAGTTTTTGGAAACATAACCAATTGATCAATTTAAATTTGCAGTAGCGAAAGACATTTGTTGAAGATTCGCACCAATGGAGTTCGATGAAATTAGATTTTTTTTAAAACTTAACAAATGAAATGCGGATGATTTGGGGGAAAATATATAAATATAATTTACCCAAAATAAGGCACTGTTATTTATAATGGGTAATAGCATAAACAAAGGTAATGAAAACACAAACAATGGAAAAATTAGTTTTGGTCTGTGGCATTGTTTTTCAAATTGTATTCCGTGGAACCCAAGGGATCCACAAAGGGTCATCACGGATTCCCCACAAAGATAACAGATAATGGCGGTTTTTTGTTGGTATATTTTTTCAGTTATTGAGTGTCAACCCGTCAGGAACCAAATTTTTTGTTTTGTTTTTTTAATCATAAGTATTTTTGTATATTTATTTACACTTTTACATTAACAATACTGTTACGAACTTGGTCACTTTCAGTTAGGTTAAGCTTTAAGGGTGAGTTAAGGGTTAAAGTTCCGTGATTGAAAGAATGAAATAAGAAGGTTCCATAGGCCTATGGTGAAACTTTCACCTCACTGGTGTTGCTATCCGGTAATACGGAAAGTTTCTATTTAACAAAAAAGGTAGTAATAATAAGTTAAGTGAACATACATTCACGTCGTAACCATTATACTGGAGTTTTAATAAAATTCTCGGCCTTAGACAACTATAAAACAGCGTGAAATATTCTTCAAGGTTCAACACCGATCTCTCATGTCTCATTACCCACATTTTTTAAATTGAAGATTCTAAGAAAAACAGGGTTAGAGATAACGAGTTCACTTTGACATAGAACTCCTGTCGTTTAAAGAAGAAAAAACAAACAAAATAACTACATAAAAATGTTTTACTTTCATGACTCTAGGTCTCATTGTTTATAATATATTGATGACGTCCTCCCTGTGAATATGTAAGTACAGATATTCCCATAATATTCTGGTTCTAAATACAATAGCCTTCGGTTATATGTAAATTTCAAAGTAGGCCAACATTTCCTCGGTATGTTGTAATTAGTTAACGTTCTTGGTAGTGTCAAAACTAAAAGCAAACGGATAATTAGTAGATGGTCCCTCTAACAGGAAATAATATTGTGAAATATTAATGATACACTTCTGTTCTTCTGAGTCACAAGAATTCAACAGATATCTTAACGAACTTATTTTCAGGGATACAAACAAAATCAAGGCACTTCAGAATAAGTGGCGTTCACTTAACTATTGTTGATGTATATATTCTATTTTTTTTTCTAACTTGCTCTAATGGAGAAAGTAATGAGCCATTCACATATTTTCAAATGATATAAATGAGAACAATAGATACAAGCATGGAATGAATAACACGAGCATTGGATTGATTTGGGATGTGGAGAAATATCTGGATGTATGCTTCGACAGTACTTATGAACTTAACAATAAACCTAAATGCGTTACCATAGTCTCGTAAGTAAGTTGCTAATTCTATGATATATTTGTTCGTATAAGTGTTCGTTTCATGAACTTAAAATAGTATTTTTAGTTTAGGCCTCATGATGGAAGATCGTGATATAAAGAATTAACCTTCAATCAGTTATCAGTTATTCTATTAAGGTATAGCCAAGTCCCCAGAGATAATTTACATATTCGTTAATTTTAGAAAGCCTAGTATACTTTTCCTTGTGTTCACATTCTTCCCATTTACGTTAGTGTATTTATTCAAACATTTCATGAAATACGTAATCTGATAAGACAAGAATACTACGGGCTACTGACTGATGCCTATGCTTATGATGTTCTTGTCACATACAGAACTATACACCACATTAGTGAAACTTTATTAAAGATTAATATGGGTGATAGATTAACAAAGCTACTAACTAACGAAATGGACTAGCTAAATTACCCAATTCGACGTTACAAAGTTAAATATATTTTAACTTTTGATTTCTAGTTAGAATTTGTTTTGTTTCTTATTTCTAGTTAAAAGAGTCTTCTCAGTATTCCGTTTCAAGAATTTGATTTTAAAGCAAGATTTATAGAACGTCAAGATTTATGGCCTAGCCTTGCTATCGCCACAAGCTTCGTTTCCTTCCATTTACTGTATCATGTTGTGCAAGGTTTTTACGAGCGCAGTAAAATTTGCTTTCCAGTACTATCGCAAGAATTTCAATAGTTTATGGCTTTTTCGAACCTTCATAAAAACCACTCTCATCTTCCTAATCGCCGTGGATGTATATGAACGACTTTTATTCAAGTACAGGATGGACTCGACGGTTTCAACTTAAATATAAAACACATACTAACATTATTTAAACTTTCTCGTTTATTGTGTGCTTCCGGAACCATCTTTTTCTGCCTGCACCTTTCCTTTTCCATATATTTCCTAATATAATGTTGTAGGGTACATTTTTCTTTTCAATTTTTTAAACTCGTAAAGAGATTTTTTAAAAATATCTGAAGTCATTTGAATAGTTTTGAGACTGTAAAACTGAAATAAAAATCAAACTTTTACGTGGGGCAATTTATATATTTTGAAATACATCACACGCAGCTTAATAGCAGTGATATGCAAAATAAAATAATTATCTTTCTCCTCGAATAACTGATGATATATGATTATAATAATAAACATTATGTGAAGAAAAACTGTGTTCTCACAAAAATTAGAAATCAAAATTAGTCATACCCGAATGAATGTATTATTATATATTTTACTCTGTTACAATAGGTTTGTAGGTTATACTAACGCATATAACTATGGAAAATACAATAATATAACATTAACGGTGAACAATAATATAACATTAACGGTGAACAATAATATAACAATAACGGTGAACAATAATACAACATTAACGGTGAACAATAATATAACAATAACGGTGAACAATAATATAACATTAACGGTGAACAATAATATAACATTAACGGTGAACAATAATACATCATTAACGGTGAACGTAATAATATACCAAGTACGTACTGCAAATAATTAAGTATTTACACATAAAATATAATGTTGTACTTTTTGTATCTTGCCTAACGTAATGCTAAAAGGCATAAACATATCATCGCAAATTCATAGATTAAAGAATTTCAATTCCTGCTACACGTAGTTTCAATCCTTGTCTAATATTTAGGTGAAAACGTGTATAATTCCTCTGCCTGTGAAAAACGTAAAACTTTTTAAGTTCTTACACAGCAATACTATAGTAATTATTAGCGAATCAGTTAAATTAATGTTTTGGAGAGGAAAAGAAATTAACAGTTAATTACTAGTAATTATCATCTCTTTAAAATAGTATGGCCAATTTTGTTTTATTTTTTACTTATTTCTTGTATTTTCAGCTTTGAAAATACAAGATAGCACAAAGTACAAAATGTATAACTAAAATATTATTGAAAATACCCTCTTCATGGTTGAAGAAGTATCACTAAAAGAAAAACGTTCATTCATGAAAACCCATTTGTAAGATTAATATCAAAATCGTCAATATACGAGATTTCATATTAAACACGAGAGCTAAGAAAGGTTTTATTAGACAACCTTTTTCAAACGTGCATGCACTTAAGATTTTTCAGAGGAAGAATTTATGACAACAATAAAACAATGAACAACCAATACTGAACTGCTTGAATAACCAACGTTTCTTACTTAAATTCCCAGTGCAACAACAAAAGGAAAAGTAATATACTTCTTGAAAATCAAGGGAATTCAAATCTGAAATGATTTATCAGCGGATGTAAGATAAGTGCATTTCGAACCATTCTTCTCACCAGGACGAGCACTGGCTTTGTTCCAATTGAAAAGTACGACAATGAAGATCGAACTGTCAGAATGAAAAATGATGCCTCCAAACGAATGGAAGTGTGCTATAGATTACCCATAACAAACATGTTCTCTCTCATCTTTTTTAATCCATCTTTTCAAGTAGGCTTTTTTTTGACAGTTTTCCATCCTTCAAGAAACACATCGAATTAAATAATATATGTTGAAGACGAGCAGCACTTATCAATGATATGTAACAACGGATTTCAACCAAAGATGTCTTTTCGAAATAAATTCTTCTCATTTACAAAATGACGTATGAACTTAGCGTATTAATGTCAGGAAGTGTTAATGTTGTCGTTTGAGAAGGAGCATAACTACAACGGTTTTAGTCAGTAATGACTAAGCGATATTTTTCAATCACGCTTAGGGGGATTTTCTTAAAATACTCACTCAACTTTGAAATGTCCGAAACGTAATAAATCTGCATAAATTGTAGGCATGTTTCGAACTACGTAGAAATTCCAAAGAATCGTGAGGTTTTAGAAGAACGTTAACAAATCATTATGTTTAAGCGTCCCCTGGTGGGACAGCGGTAAGTTTACTGACTTACAACGCTAAAATCCAGGGTTCGATTCCTCGCGATGACCACATCAGATAACCTAATGTGGCCTTATTCAGAAAAACAAACAAATATATTTCAGTACTGAAAATGATTATTAGGAGCAATCAATTTAGAACAGTTAAACAGAACTATAAAACTGAAATAACTTACTTTTGAGGTTCATTGGGATCTCTTTTCTTCTTTTTCTGTACTTTAGGCTTCTTAGGCTTGTTAGGTGTTTGTGTAGTAGTCGGTTCAACTGGTTCTGGTGAAGGTCGTTTAACACCTACCATCAACTAAACAACAAATATCTGACGTTTAATTCATAAACCGAAACATATACAAACAATAACTTCAGTAAAGATCGTGGTGTAACTTTTCGTAGACTGTGAATATAATCCACAGTTGTCTTGTATTTTTTAACTAACTTTGTTGAAATTTGGAGTAAGTATATTTGTTAAGAGTGTACAAACTAAATATTTTAATAGAATTATTGAATAAAAAACAAATGCTCGTGTTAATATACGTTTTTAAAATAAATAATAGTGAGTAATAACTTAAGCTTATATAGAAAGTATAAAAACGCAACCTGAAACCTATTTACAAGATTATAACATAATTATTGTTTTATTTTACAGCATTAACGCCCTATCTTCTTAAACTCTGAATAATTATAAACAAGATATAACAGTTTTACGACATGGCCAGGTGGTTAGGGAGCTCGACTCGCAATCTGAGGGTCGCGAGTTCGAATTCCTGTCCCACCAAACATGCTCGCCCTTTCATCCATGGGGGCGTTATAATGTGACGGTCAATCCCGCTATTCGTTGGTAAAAGAGTAGCCCAAGAGTTGGCGGTGGGTGGTGATGACTAGCTGCTTTTCCTCTAGTCTTTCACTACTAAATTAGGGACGGCTAGCCCAGATAACCCTCATGTAGCTTTGCGCGAAATTCAAAACAAACAAACAATTTATAACTTATCCTTTGTTAACTTGGAGCTTTTCCCCCTAAGAGGCTCAACGACAAGTCTGAAGGCTTATAACGCTAAAAACCCGGTTTCGATAACCGTGGTGGGCACAGCAAAAATAGCCCACTGTGTAACAACAACAGCAACAAAAGCAGACAAACTTGTTAACTTGAATTAACTTAATAAAAATAATAAAAGTAGGTTATATATCTAATATTAAACTTTAAATTGATGCATTGTTTTTATGTAAAGTTACCTAACTTAGAAGTGTAAGCAGTGTTTGAAAATTGAATTACTCATCGATATTAAACGCGTAACAAAAAATGTTGACATAGAAAATAAAATAAAATATCATATGACTAAGAGATATTACAAAAGCATCGGGGGCATAGTACAAGAGGTGAAAAAAGGAATTGTTAGGGAAGAAAAAGGCATTTTATTATCAGTAGGCCAATCATATTAGATTACGGTGTGAAAGATGTAACAGTCCACCAACTGCTTCTCACGTTGCATCATTTAATTCGTCGAATTTCCTGTATTGTATCGTCTGCTTCACCACATTTTTCAGTTTCGTGTATTGTATCGTCTGCTTCACCAAATTTTTCAATTTCGTGTATTGTATCGTCTGCTTCACCAAATTTTTGAATTTCCTGTATTGTATCGTCTGCTTCACCAAATTTCTTCACTAATGCTTACGCTAAGTGTACTTTGAATACATCGGTTGTCTAAAAGTATTGTTCAACAAACCGTTGCAGAGAGAATCCTAAAGATGGATTTCACAAGGTACTAGGCTAAGACTATATGCCAGATGGAGAAGGACAGTCCAATTGATCTTTATGAACTGCAGTCATAACAAATCATTCTTCAGAAATAATCCCAATCGCAACTGTCCTCAGTAAGTTTACGGATTTACAACGCTAAAATTCAGGGTTCTATTACCGCGGTGGACACGGAAGATAGCCCAATGTGGTTTTGCTCTAAAACAAACAAACATCTTATGATTTTGGTTGCACAAACCGTATGATACTGTTAGCAGAGCGAATATTGACCTACTAACAGGATCATTCGTTTATGTCATTTTCTTATAACCAGTGTATGGTGTGGTAAAAATCCGGTTTCTTTCTGAACACCTTTCGTATGTGTGTGTTTTATTTTAGCAAAGCCATATTGGGCTATCTGCTGTGTCCACCGAGGGGAATCGAACTCCGAAATCCGAAGACTTACTGCTGTCCCACCGGGGGACGAACACCATTCGTGAATAGAAAATAATTTCAATTAGTTCCCGGACTCAATAAAACGTCGTAAAATCACATCATAATGAAGTGATTCTAATGATACAAGCAAAGTTTCTGACTTTGTTTTTGTTAAAAGTTTTAATACTTCCTGATTTATCTTCCTTTGTCTCGTTGTTTGACGATTCGACATACAACTGGTTTTCACAAGGACAATTATTACAGCCGAAAGCAAAAGTTTCAAGTTTCTTCAATATCTCTATATTTTTAAAATCGATGCCAAAACACTGTTACTTGAATAAATATACTATTATATTTTCGCTTCAAAGTAAACACAAAAGATAAGTGTTTATAGCTGAAGCAAATAAAGTACTAGCTTGTTTTTGTTAAACACAAAGCTACACAGTGGGCTAGCTGTGCTCTTCTCGCCGCGGAGATCGAAACCCAATTCTTAGCGTTCAAACCGCCGAGCCATCGGCGAGCAAGAAATATAACTTTTACGAGTTAGGGTTAAGCGATATTTATTTAAAGCCCAATTCATTCGTTAGATATTTAAAAAAAGGGGGAAGATAAGTGACTGGGATATAAAGTCACTGGAAAATAATTTCCAAATCAGCTTAATAACTTTCAGATAATATTGTCAAGTCAACTAAAATAAACAGGTTTTTTTTTTTTTTGGCCTAACCCTTCGTATGCTACAAAGTATGATTACCTATCTATTTCAGTTTCCTTTACAGAAAAAACAACATGAAGAAAAACGCGGGAAATAAACATTAACGTTTTTCTTTATAGGCCTTCATTATTACAGGTATTATAAAGGGTGGGTTCAATATATCTCAGCTGCAATAAGATTTTATAAATTATTCAGAAGAGCACTACATTTATTTGGCAATTTGTTGTCAGTGAAAGCTCTCTTGTTACCATTATTATTATTTATTGATTTTTCCTTTTCTAAAGAAAGTAATTTTATGGAAATAGCTTCAATAGATATATATATACGATATATACTTCAGTACGTATCATTTTTCATGCGAATAACTTTTTATCATTAATAATGAATAGCCCAGAATCTTGATAAAACAATATATAAAGTCAAGAACATTTTACGTTGTTCGAGGAACGTTAACTTTAATATTCAAGCCTGAAAGAAGGTTATAAATATCACAAAAAGTCATAGCAACAAATAATGAAATGAAAGGAAGCAAAGCGTCTGTTTCAACGTGATAACTTCAATTGCTAAGTTAGCCAAGAGCCTTTAGTTATTGACTTTTTTTTTGTTTTTTTTACAAGAACGCCTTATATTTTCAACGGCTCCAGATAATAAAAAAATCTCTTTTCATTTTAACTTTAATGTTAAATCACAATTTAAAACAAGTCTCTATTAATATCTAAATCGCATATTTAACGACTGTTATCCTAAATTAAGTCTTTGGCGAACCTAATCATTCCCGTGCCTATCGCTTCATTCAAAAATGACTGATTCATGTCGCTTGTAATTCGTTAAGTTTTTAACAAAAATCGCCATTTGTTTGTCTGCTTGCGTTTCGCCTCGTGGAATCGAACCCCGGATTTTAGTATTGTAAGTTCGCAGACTTACCGCCTTCATTTAGGAATAACGTTGATATGTCAACTGAGAATAATTGAAATCTGTGAGAGCTTTTGACATGCTCTGTTTCATCTCCAAACTTTCCTTGGGTAAAAAAAAGTTATGATCATCAACTTGTTTCTGGGGAAAATTATATCCTGTCGGACAATTGTTTGTGTTTTGTTAAGATATAATAACATTAAATGCTGGGTTTTTCTTATCACCCTTGTAGGAGAAATTAATAAATGGATATCAAGTTCAGGGGGCTCTTAACAAGACTTTGTGATTACGGTGATTTAGATATGCAGTGTATGTTTTGTTTTGTTTTGTTTTTAATTATGCACAAAGCTACACAAGGGCTATCTGTGCTCTGCCCACCACGGGTATCGAAACCCGGTTTCTAGCGTTGTAAGTCCGCAGACATACCGCTGTGCCACTGGGGGGCAGATATGCAGTGTAATATGTTCTATATATATATAATGTGTAACATGTTAAAATGTGCCCATGGTTAAATGTTATTCTCTTAGTGTAGTTTTTAAGATAAGAATAATTTGGAATATGGGGTTTTCCTACCTGATTACGTAATTAATGAGTATATCGGGAGAAATACGCTATTGTGATTGGTTATTTTGTTTTATTTTTTACGGGAGATAACTGTTTATGAGTCCATGGCTATATGGGTTACAGGGTTGTTAATAACACACGAGTACCACCTCCCCCCCCTATCAGTATTGCAATTAATCCCCTAATTATATAAAAAAATTAGTGACTTACCCCAGGGTTGTTAATAACACACGAGTTCCACCCACCCCCCCCCCCTCCCTATCAGTATTGCAATTAATCCCCTAATTACATAAAAAAAATAGTGACTTACCCCATTTTCTTTTGGTCAGTTCTTTACTCAATATGAACAACAATTGAACCCTACCGATAATGAACGGTATGAAGAGAAGTCGGTAATTTAAGTGTTAAATAAAAAACAACTTTAATTTTCAAAGACTACTCCTTCCTCACAAATCTGTGAGATCTTGTGAGTATTTTGTTATTACCTGGGATAGAAGTGGCTGAATATATTGAAATAACTATAAATATTTCACCTGAGCTAAAGCATTGCTATCGTCACTATCTTCACTGGTTTCATGACCTGGTGAAGTTTGATTGGACCTGGGTGAGCTCCCGACTGAAGCCGGTGCTTGACCAATCGGATGGTTCATGGGCACATGCATGCCTAGCTGTGACGATAACTGCGATTGGTTGAGAGTTCTCATATGACCACTTATAGTCTGTTGGTATTGATGCTGTCCGCTAGGTGGCATCTGCGGCGGAGGCATGCTTTGTGATGGGGAATGATGTTGTTGTTGTACTTGTGGGTTGCCGTAGCCAAGATGACCATTGTATGAATGCATTCTAAGAAGTGAGAAAATAAATAAAATAAATCCTGGAGTAAAGAAAGGTTTAGTCAATAAAATATAAAGTCTGTATTTTTAAATAATAAAATTAAAAAACAACAACAACAATATAAATATCGTTGTATAAAGTTATGTCAGAAATATCATTCATAAACAATAAATCAAATGAAACGTTTTTTAAGTTATTGTCGAAAATATTCATTGTTGATGAAGAATCACTTAATGAATATATTAATTTATTGTCATTAGACACTGGTATTAGGCCTATTATATTTTTCAACACCGAATTCTATATATGGTCCTTTAGGGATTCTTGAAAATCTCTGAAGGATTACATATAGAATGTAGTGTTAAATAATAATAATAATAGGCCTAATATTAATGTCTAATGACAAGTAAATTACTTATAATCAAGCTTCGCCAGCTTGGACATGCGTTCACACCATGACATTGAACATATTGTTTTTTGTTTTGTTTTTGAAAACAACCCTCATGTTGAAGAAAGAACAACAATGTTGTCACACAACGGATCGACAACGGTTGAAAAAACCAAACGTATTACAAGTACATCTACGTTTTGTTAAGATTTCAAGCCACGTTTTCCTACAAGAATATGGCGGATTAATGAATTTAACTTGTAAATGTGGATGAGATAAGAATACGGATATAAGGTATTAAGTGTTTAACAAAGTTGACTAAAACTGTGGTTTGAATACTAGAAACAGAAGAACAATTATGACGTGTAAAAAGAATTTGTTATTTGCATATTGTTTATCTTCTCCCGGATTATAAAATGTCAAATAAGATTTAAAAAAAAAAATCGAGATCGAAAATCTGTTTACGTTCTCTTTTAACTCGACCACGGATTTAATCACGGGACACAAAAATCACATTAGTATTGAAACGTAAATACAAACTTTTATAAACTACAAACAGAAACGTCGATGAGAAATAACAAACTATACGTACGGAATATGCATATTGTGGACCTCCGTAACTCCTCTCGAAGTGACCACTCCTCCAATAGGAGGAGGATACATATCCTGTACAACTGTGTACTGATGGTTACCCATTATGCCAATAGAAGGAGAACTGGTAACAGCTCTGGATGTCATCATCACAGAAGGTTCTAAAGCCAGTCCTTGTCCCTGAGGTTGTAGATGTGATAAAGGCTGAAAAATGACACTTTATAATTATTATTATCTAAAACAATGTATATACGATTTGTTCTTGGTTTAAAACCGTACCATGCCGACCTAGGTAGATGTGATAAAGGCTGAAAAATGACACTTTATAATTATTATTATCTAAAACAATGTATATACGATTTGTTCTTGGTTTAAAACCGTACCATGCCGACCTAGATATAAAATGGTAACACATGCCGAAACCAATTAGCACAGAGGTGGCAGTCACGCAACGGTAGCTGGAAGAATTGTTATCATTAAGGACGCGATATTTCATTTGTATTTCTCTCATTCTTCATTATCTAACTAAATAGAGCAAACAGGGAGAAAACAGTTCCATATCTACTGACTCGAATTGATCCGAGCCGAGACGGCAGTGTACAGTTGAAATGCACGTGCAAGGATATTTATTACACATGCAAATATTCAAGAGAAATGAAATTAGAGATTTTCATGAAATGTCGGGCTAATAAAAAAAAAAAAAAGTTAATTGCCTATAGCATCGAAACAGTCAAGTGTATATTCGTATATTTTTATAGCCGTTAAGAAATAAATTATTCAGATAAATTACATTTAACGGTAATATATGTATACAATTAGAATGTGACAATTTATCTTGGCAAGCCTCATTAATGTGACATTATGATGATAAGAATTTCGTAAGCTTGGTAAAATAACAAAACATTTGTAGATAGTAATGATTTTCAGCATCAGCTTGAGCTGAATTAATGTGAATTAATGTTATACCAAACATGCATTTAATTTACAAAATTAAAATGAATGTTTTTCAATCTTTGCTCCGAGTTTTAGCTATATATATTGAGAGAATCCATTTTCATAATGACTTCAGAAAGTTTACAGAGCCGTTTTGGAGACAAAATGTTTTTCATGGCTCAAAGTAGCTCAGTTTCCAATTAATTACTCTGTCATTTTGATATGTGTAATTAAACGGAAATGGTCTATGTATATTATTAGTTTGTTTTTCATCCTTGGCTATTCCATATAATAACTGAAGCGAGATATATATATACGATTACGTTTACTATAAATATTAAATTAAAAATATTTCTCTTAGGCCTTTTCTCCATTATTAAAGACCGAGGAGTAAAAAAGATTGGAAGATAATATAGGTTTAGCGCAAAAATATACGTGCTCATAACATATAATTTATTACAAGATGTACCTTAGCATGCCTCTTTAATAAAGTTTGTCCAAGATATTTAAGTAATTTAAATAACAAACGATAAATTACCTGGGATCCGTAAACATCTCCATTAAGAGCAGAAGAAAGATGGAAAGGCGGAATATCAAACTCTTCGTCTCCGAAACTTGGGGTGTGGAAAGTCTGTAAATTATATTCCAAGAAAGTTAAACAATTGTCTAAGAAATATTGGTGAAACTCGGGAAAAGTATTCATTCCTTATGGAACTGCAATATATGACACAAAGGAACATGGTCCGGCATGGCCAGGTGGTTAGGGCACTCTACTCGCAATCTGAGGGTCGCGGGTTCGAATCCCCGTCCCACCAAACATGCTCGCCCTTTCAGCCGTGTGGGCGTTATAATGTGACGGTCAATCCCACTATTCGTTGGTAAAAAGAGTAGCCCAAGAGTTAGCGGTGGGTGGTGATGACTAACTGCCTTCCCTCTAGTCTTACACTGCTAAATTAGGGACGGCTAGCGCAGATAGCCCTCGTGTAGCTTTGCGCGAAATTCAAAACAAACAAACAAACAAAGGAACATAGAAGGTTAAGAAAAAAACTATCACAGAGTAAAGTCCACCACATACAGTAGCTTTTGTATCAGTTTTTAACGGACTTTAAAGCTAGAAGAGTACATAAAAAATCACAAAAGAATTCTGTAATTACTTATTTTTATGTAGCAGACGATACAAAAGTAAACTATCAGACACAATCCATGTTACAAAAAATCACAACGTAGCGAGAATCCTACGTAGATATCAAGGGTAATAAACAAATATTTTATAGATGTCGCTATATAGCTACTCATTAGGCGTCGTAAGCAAAATGAGATTAGCGAATAGATAATATCAAAGCAAGATTAGGCAGCCCTTCATAATAATGTGAAAAATAATAATACAGAGGGTTGAGTACGTAACATAAAAACGATTTCTGAAGCATCGCCAGGTCGTTATACTCCATGTCGCCACGCCCGTTTATATTCTATCTGATGACCATGCATCTTGACAACAGCTCTGCAACGTGGTTTCCATTGCAAAAGGCTCCACCGTAAGACTTGTCATGTTCAAACTACACCACTCCTCGCTGCATTCTATTCATAATCCATCTATTTTACAAAGACGACGGTTTCTCAGCGCTCGTTCTAACAGTCCGATCGCACAAAAATCCTATAGATGCTGCGCCCAGTGACTTTAGTGGTATGTTTTCACTTGGAATAGCATGAATACTTGTTTCACTTTCCAATTGATTGAGACATACAACGTTTAATGGGAGGTATAACTGTAAGCCATATCTTGATGAACTAATACCCTTTTTATGTCTCGTTTCCAGGCTAACATCCTTCTTCATTATGTTGTTTATCTGGGACATGTAGACGACTGTTTCTATTGGCCTTTGTGTTTGTGAATTCTCGCCTATTACAACATGTTGCACTTTGCTTACCAAAGCCAGAGTACGACTTGTTGAAAATCATTTCTGGGAGGTTCTGGTGTCAGTCGAAGTTGATCCATATCGCTTCTGTTTTCTACTGGCATTAATCAAGAGTCTTGTAAATTATCAATCCTCGATCTGAACACATCTTTATAATATAAGTGTGTTAATACTTTGCGTCGAAAAAGGCTGTTACATACCCTTCACAAAAGCGATCAATTTTCAGTGGCACCATACTACCTACGAGACGCTAAACAGCGTCAAGATGTAGTACTGATACATTCCGTTCCACCGTGACATTATCACCTGTGGTTGTCCCGTGACTTAACAAATTTGCATAGTCAAAATCTTTTTAATACAGCCTATTCAACCCTGTTTGTTAGAAAATGATACGAGTTTGTTCTTTAAGGCATAAAATATCTGGACATGTGATATCTAACCATAAAATATGTGGACATATGATATCTAACCATAAAATATGTGGACATATGATATCTAACCATAAAATATGTGGACATGTGATATCTAACCATAAAATATCTGGACATATGATATCTAACCATAAAATATCTGGACATATGATATCTAACCATAAAATATCTGGACATGTGATATCTAACCATAAAATATCTGGACATGCCACATATTTTATGGTTAGATATCACATGTCCACATATTTTATGGTTAGATATCAACATATGATATCTAACCATAAAATATGTGGACATGTGATATCTAACCATAAAATATGTGGCCATTGTCAACAATCACAGTATCAACAACCATAACAGTTTTAGTCTTTCCCTTTGGCAAATAAAAAACAAAAAATACGAAACTAAATTTTTTGAAATTGTTTGTTTAGATGAAAGTCTGAAAACGAGTAAACTAAAAGAGATCTTGGATATCTTTATTATATCTTTCTAAGCCTTGAGAGCTCTGTAAACAAAATATTGGATACACACTTCGTTCCCGTTGAGAGATGAAAATTTTGCTGCTCTTTCTAAATCATAATGTGCACGTATATTGATTTTAATCTAAGGTGTTTTTAAAAAAGGCTTTCCGACATTGAAAGGAAAATTAATACACGAAGTTTATCGTCAACTTCGGAATAAAAGGGTGGAAATTTTAACTGAGCAGAATTCCGCAAGATTAAAAGTTGTCTGTAGTGTTGTAATGCCTGATGTATGTATAAAACCGAAACGTCGGAAAAAAATTACATACATATTTTTCTTAACTGAAGATAAAGGTTGCATATTTACAAACAGCAATTTCTGTTATTCTTTGATTAAAGGTGTATAACCGAAACGTCGGAAAATAAAGTAGTAGAATAAATATGTTTCTTGTATGTAGATAAAGGTATTTTATTTACAAACAGCCATTTCTGTTAATCTTGGATGAAAAGGTGTAAAACCGAAACGTCGGAAAATAGAGTAATAGAATAAATATGTTTCTTATATGTAAATAAAGGTCTTTTATTTACAAACAGCTATTTCTGTTAATCTTCGACAAAAGGTGTAAAACCGAAACGTCGGAAAATAAAGTAATAGAATAAATATATTTTTCGTATGTAGATAAAGGTAG